TATGGTTGCACTAACACTTGTATTGTTGTAGCCAACTATCGTGGATAGCGAACCCTGTTGCATGCTTACTTCAACACGGAAGCAAGAAATCAAGCCTGAAGTTCCTTCATCATGAATCGCTACTATAGATTCCACTTGAGCAGCTACTTTGTGCATGAATTTCTGAAATTCAAGTGGAATTTCCATGAAGGAACTCCACATTGACCATCGAATGCCCTGAGGCCCTTAGGCTGAAGTATGCGGGGATTGAAGCTTTGTGTTCATTTCTAGTATATTATGATGCCAACGGCGAAGAAATGGAAGCCTAGTGTGAGGAATTGGTGCGTGATGTCCTTGCCGTCGGTCCAGACGTAAAGGAAGTGAGGATTCAAACATCTGTGGATGAATATCTTACCCGAAGCTACGATTTTGCTCAACAAGTTCCACCAAGAACTCAAAATCTCATTCTAAAGATCATCATCGACGACACATGCAATGACTACGTGCGATGTTGGTGTGAGAATCTGTTAGACTATTGTCGCTTGGGAATCCATATCCATATCAAAGATATTGTGCCACGCACCATAAGGCCTTGATGATTGCGAAAGGTTTCGCACGCAAGAGATTTTCCATCCTTGCGATAAAATGTATTCACTATTCCTTTGTCAAACTGTGCTCTATCCAAGACAATGCGCATGAAATTTATTTCGAGTGTTGTCTCGGTCATCGGTTGTGCATTTTCTTGGAAGAGTTCCGCATTAGTATTTCTTGGTAGCTCCGATTGGGCGCTGCCATGAGCTCTTTTCCTAACACGTCAAAACAAGGCCTAAACTGACCGAGAAACAACTCAAATTGTGCATAATTGAGATGCGCTCCAAAATCTCACTTGTGAACTTGCAACCACAACATTACTGTGTGCGTGATGGTAGTCGCAGCTTATGCATCCCAGCGCTCATGTCTACCGTTGCTCTGCAGCCCCCATCACATCGTTAGATAATGTTTCTAATCTTATATTTTAACCTTTAAGAAAGCTTAATTGTGAACAATCAATCTTGTTAGCTCTTTAATCACAACTTGTGAATACTTTAAAATTAAAAACATAGCTTACATAATTCAAACACTTGCGTAGATGCAAAATTCAATTTCCAACTTTGATATTGCTTGTAATGATTTTTGTTCTTCAAAATTCATTGTTTTGCAATTGCATAGCTCATCTTGTTGAGTCTTTAATCTTGACACTCTACTTTCTATAATGACTAAAAAAAACTTTAAAAAACTCCAAAAAACTTCAATTTTTTTGACAAATTAGCTCTTATAGGCCCATAAATCTTGGACTAATGAGACTAAAGAGTGTTTATTAGTGGAGTTAAAAATCCAACTAAACTAAAAATTTAGAGTCGAGCAAAAACACACTACTAAGCTTAGTTGGATCTAATAAGACCTTAAAGCGCCAAGAATAATTGAAACCACAAAAGGAAGTTGCAAATATAGTCATTTGAAGGAAATATTCTTATTCAAAATTTTCAAGCATAAGTGATGAATTTGAATTTAAGCCAAAATATTTTACATGTTTTAACTTAAAATAGTCAAATCTCTCATAAATCTAATCAATTGATTATATTTATGAAAATATTTTGCCCAAAACACAATTCACATTATAAATCTGTCAAAAATCTCGTGACAATAATGTAATTGACTAAAACATCTTCTTGAGTTAAGATAAAAATTTACATTTGATTTTGAGTGAATTGACTAATCTCTCTTTGCGACTAATTTTCTATTTCGTTATAAATTGTTGATACAAATAATTTTTTGAACTTTTTGATATTTTTTTAAAATATTTTTCTTCAGTCTAATAACTACTCTGAAAAATAATTTGTAAGTTTCAAGTTCAAAACGTCTACTGAAGCAAAATATAAACGTCAAGGTCTCAAACTGCACCTTATTTAACACCAGGCAAAATTATGAAATACACAAAATCTGATACTTTTTGTATGAGATTATCTCCAAGATATTCTACTAATTGAAACCAAAAGTGATATTGATGAAAATACCAGATGCAACAATGTTGTGTGAAATTACATGATTAGATGCAACAACTAAAGAAGATAAATGTGGATGTAGAAAAAGTTAAATATCTAGAATTTAAGTATAACAGTGGAAGTGAAAAAAGGAAACTAAAACAATTTTTTTTGTGGTTAATATTTGCATGCAATTTATCATATGTAGCAAGTTTATTTTATCACTTGTAAGAGTTATCATTCAAGCTTTGGATTTTTGTGTTATGATATATGTACTCCAATGTTACAAAAATCCAATATATAAATATGTCATATGTCAATTAAATTTTTTATCAAATATTGTAATCATGTATCTTCATAATGATTTGATCAATTTGAAGATATATGATGTATATAAATTTCAAAAGATATGAAGCACAAGAATGGAAAGATTGAACGTAATTTAATACGATTTCTAAATTAATAACTTTCATATTTGTTGATTGTGAATAAATTACAACAAATAAAAAATTTTCTTATAGTTTTTTCAATTCAGAATCAATTATAAATGTTTTTTAATAATTTGAATAATATTTATATATATTTTGAAATATTATTTTGTGATATGAAATAAAATTCAATTTACATTTTGTGCTCAAATATTTTTTTAAGTAATAATATTTTTATTAGATTTTTTACTTGTGATTTTAAATTTATATGTCATCCCATTCATCTAAAACATTTTAATTATTATCATGGTCATGATGATGCTATTTTAAATAGAAATATATATATTTTTGGAGTTTTTCAAAAAACTAGGAAATTTCGATAAATTCTGAATTATTTTAATTATTTACTTTTTTCCAATTTTAAAATAATTTTTAAAAAAACGAGCATCTAAAGTGAGGTTGTATCATTAATAAAATCGGTTTTCTAAGAGATCTGAATTTATTGTACGAATTTGTTAATTATTATACGTGATGCACATTGCAATTGAGATATTTATTCCAGGCTTATAATTCATTCAATATTACAAATTGGAGTCATTTTCATCAAGTATGCTGAAACATAATAATTCATTTTTTAGAAAATGATAATTTAATTCAATTAAATACATCTTTGCCAATGGAATTTTTTTGGGCCATAACATAAAAACATAAAACTTTGTGGTAAAATAATATATATGACATAATCTGAAGTACCAAAAATGGTTGTTCCAATTATCAGGTTTGCTTGTTCTTAGTCTACTTGCATTGCGAAGTGTATGCCTCACCTTGTATTACTTGTACTCTTACGGACATAATCTAAAAATTACCCCGGCATGCTTTGTAAATATAGTTGTAAAGATGAATTGTAGGTTTGTATGATGTTTGAGAATGGTGAGAGGTGTTGCTTGATAAAGTAGATGTTAAACTTGTCACTTCTGTATGTATCTGTATATGAACCGATGTAAGAATCATGGCTCGATACACGGTGTCCAATTAGAATAAGAATTTTATATTTCCAAGCGAGGTGTGAAGAAGGCATCTTATGGTGTGTTTTCTTCTTGATGTTTCTCTGAATTAAATGTGAGCTGATCTTGGTCGTTAAACTATGAAGTGTGAAGATTACCTCACATATGCTTACAGACAGAAAGCTTCATAATCTTGAAATTCAAGCCATGCGGCCATTTAAATAAGTGGTACTCATCTTAACAAATCCATCCTTATGCATTTGATCTCATGTAATTGGGTAGGGAAATATATCACAGAAATATAACTTAAAGAAGAATTTCAGATAATTCTTTCAATGCATCAGTGGTCAAGTACTTCATTTCATCATAAAGAAATAATACAATGATATATTCCTATTCACAAGATTCTGAAGATATGCTCCTGAAATTCACGGCAAGAGAGCGGTAGGGAGTAGCAGTCTTGGCGCCACAACATCATAGACTTTTCACGGTACATTACACATAGCATGCTTTTACCTTTTATCGGGATGCCATCATAGTGTGCACTTACTAGAATCGTTCGTTCCTGAAGGGCTGTTGGAAGTCTGACGAAACTTGAACCGTAGATTCTCCATCGGATTGCGATCATAGCATATTCAAAATTACTGTTGTAGCTGTCAGACTCCGGATATACTAATATCCCGAAGTGATAGAAGGAGAGGCCTCAGTTCCGGAAAGTACAACACAGTTTCGTACCTCCGATCAGCGTTCCGTTTTCCAAGTGGATATGTCCGTAGGACCTCATAAACAAATAAGTTGGTCCAGCTGGAGAATTCTGTGACGTGAATAGACAATTCGACCAATCACAAGCTACGATTGTGACATTGACATTATAAAGAGTAATGGAGACTCTCTCTAGCTAAAAGGTCCAGATCTTTCAGACAACAAATAGGAAAGTAGATAGAGGCTGACTTGGACTGGAGGGAGCCAAGTAAATTAGCAGAAAGGAGGGGAAGACCCAATCAATTGATGTAACACATGGATCAAACCCAAGGGTGTGATGGGGCTTGGCCCCTGGCTTGGACTTCAGGGAACGGAATTTGAAGAGGTGGCATTAACATCCCATGATTTGGACGAATCTGCCGTAGATTCGTTCCTCTTAAGCGTAGACGAGGACCACAACGAGGTGCCACCTAGACACATAATACCTGCTGATGTGGAGATCTGGTAAACACATCACCATCGCCGGCTCTCGCCTTCACGGCGCCACTCCTCCAACGGACACTGTGTTGAACCGCGCATGACGGAATGTGCTGGAATCTGAAAGGACTTGCCGGTTAGGCAGGGAGAGTTCGTGTCTGCAGAGAACTTACAGATGCTTAGATCCAATCGAAGCCGATCATCGCATATATCGACGGTCGACTAAGTCATTTCTTGTAGAGTGTGCGTGATTCGCAGTCGTGGGAGGAAGGTGGTCTTTGTCCCATGAAAGGCGGATCTTTGCCACTATTCAGGCTAGTGTGTGGTGCCACCTGTGAGCCACGTCGGCCCTAGCCAAGACTGGTGCCTGGCCGCGGCCAAGTGAAGGCTTCTTTTTCTTGGCGTAACCATTCCTCATTCTGCAATCCGAACTCCACATTCTCTCGTGCTCAATTTCGTCACTCTCACCGCTCGACTCGACCGTCCTCTCGTTCTTCGTCCCGTCAAAGGTTTGATTGTGCTCAGACTTGCATTGTCGCTTGGATCGGCTGTCTTGGTATTGTTTTGGCATTGAATCGTCCCTCGACTTCTTCATAGCTCGCTGTACGCAGCCCTCCTCCTTCGCTCTGAGACCAGTTTCACGTTATCTACGTGTGATCGGAATCAGTAACGAGCAGTGAAGGTAGAGATCGTCGGCGTCCCTCGCATGTGAGAGTGGATCTTTAGAAATGCGTTGTATCTGTTTTCGACGATTTCCGGGTCTGATCCCTGTGATCGCGGGGATTGAAGTTTCGTCGCTTGATGTCACTGACAGTGAAGTCGGATTTTGTGTTCCTGAACACAGGTTAGGCAAAACCTGTGTTCGGACTCGTTGCGTGCCTCTTGTCTATTATTGGGCACTAAGTTGTACGTCGCTAGAGTTGCTAGTCGTTGTGATGTCATTCTTTTACTCCAGGTCGTTGCCTGAAACTAGCCTCAGTGCCACAGTGTCATCTTTATATACGTAATACAACCGCCATGTTTGACTCCTGCCCACCTCGGTTTCCCGATCTTTAAGCCGTTTGCGATTGCCACACACCTCTTTCCCTTCCCTCGAATGCTTGTCTACCGATTTCAAGGTTCCGTTGTTATCTTCCTGATACGTGTGTACACTTGAGGTACTGTTGTCTCTACTACAGCTTACGCGCTGTTGTTGATGGGGAAATCGCAACAGCATAGTTTTTCGTAGGACATGTAATTTTAAACGGTCCCAGCTTGTTTTGGTTAGAAATATGCCACGCTAGGTCTGTTACGGTTTGTTCCATCTGAACTTGCGCCCCCAGACTTGCGCAACCAGCTTCATCGTTCTTCTATTTGATAGTATGCCTTCCTTGGAATCAAGGCTGTGTATATCTAACATCGTTCAATGGTTACGATTCGCAGAAAATGCCGAACCCCAACAACCCAAAGGTTTTCTTTGACATCACCATTGGTAGCTCCCCCGTGGGGAGGATCACCATGGAGCTCTACGCGGATACCACCCCGAAGACCGCAGAGAACTTCCGATGCCTCTGCACCGGAGAGAAGGGTATTGGAAAGAGCGGCAAGGCCCTGCACTTCAAGAACTCTGCTTTCCACCGAGTCATCCCCGACTTCATGTGCCAGGTATCTTTAGTCTCCATTTTCGCACGTGCCTGGTCAATTTAAATGCTCGTTTCGCGATGGATTGGGTCTACAATTTGTGCAACCATCCGCTCGTCAGCTGCCGTTCATGACACTTGAAGCTAGGTGTCTGCACGAATGGTTTCCGAAAAGCCTAAGTTGGAGATGCAATGGATCAGAATGTTCAAGTGGCATCGAAAGTTCCCTGCGGTAGACTTAAAGCCACGGTACTGTTGTTGTCCAGTTGTGCTTATGACTGAGGATTGGTGTGATGCAGGGAGGAGACTTCACCAGGGGTAACGGAACCGGAGGAGAGTCCATTTACGGAGAGAGGTTTGCCGATGAGAACTTCGTCAGAAAGCACACCGGTCCTGGTGTTCTGTCTATGGCCAACGCCGGAAAGGACACGAATGGATCGCAGTTCTTCCTGTGCACCGTCGCCACTCCATGGCTGGACGGCAAGCACGTCGTTTTCGGACAGGTGGTAGAGGGCATGAACGTCGTCAAGGCGATTGAAGGTGTTGGTTCTTCTCTGGGAAAGTGCAAGCAGCCCGTCGTGATCGCTGACTGCGGTCAATTGTCATGAACTGTATCTTTGTAGTCACGTTGGACTTCTAACTTCCCGAGATACCCACTCCGAATATAGCTTAATGAAAAAGTTGGGATCTTCATTTTGACTTCCTGAATCGCGCTCACTGTCACAATGTGTTCATTATGACAGTGCGGATCTCGCACTTACTCGCGGGAAACTATCTATGCATTTCTTTGCCTTGATCAACAGTGATGTATATTGCGCTGGACGGTTTGAATGCGAGTATGACTTTTAACCTCCCCATGTCTATGACATGCTGGTTTTCTTTCAAGGCGAGAGTCGTTATCATCTTTTCCTTTTCAAAGCATGTCACCTGGTAGTCTGTCGCGAGTACCGGCGAGACAATAGGAACGTGTCGGAAAACTTGTGACGGTTCATGGGCCGAAAGATCATTTTGAAATTTTACACCTTTTGAACAATTCCAAACTACTTGTACGCTTGGTATTCTGACAAACATGTGCATATGAGAAATATTTGAGAATTTCGCTGCACTTGTGATCAGGTTTTTTTGGGTCAAATGCCTACTGTGTATCATCGTCAGCATTTTCGAGTGTATTGTTTGTTTGATTGGCCATCGTTGAATGTGTGATTGTCTGAATCGTAGAATGGAAGTCTCGATTGTCCGATGTGTGCCAAATACTGTCATTGTAAGTTCACAAAGAAATTTCGTTCTCCCGAAGGAGGCAGGAAAATTGACGGTTGGTGAAATAATTGAATATCAATATAAAATAATGGAAGTACATGGGCACCATGGAAAAAATGCATACGACTGAAATGAAAAGGAAAAGAAATAAATTTCGCGTTAACGATGTTGAATATAAACATTGTTTATTTGTTAATTGTTCGTTCACATCTTAACTATTGTAATTTACATCAACACATAACCGTCAACAATAACTAAATTATTTAAAACAAACACATTTGTGTAGTGTAATGACAAATAAACCGGAATGAACATTGTACTGACAAAATATACACATCTTACGGTGAAAGTGAGAAAGAAATATTATCTATTATATTTTTTCGTTCTAAGATGAAGCATAAATCATGTAACTTTTGCCTAAACGTCAAAACTCAACAAACCGCACTAACTTTCAAATGAAGCTACCAACCAGCAACATATCAAGAACGTTGGTACAATGAGAGGGCGAAGAGAGAACGGCGTGAACAGTCAACGGTAGGAAAGGAATGGACAATATGTACCCGAGCGGACAGACAACATTCGGCCTGCAGAGATGAAAAGACCGTTCACTGTGAACATTCAAAAAAAGAAAATAATATTCGGCCTAAACAAAAATCTCTCCGCCCTTCTAACCAGACACTCGCATCACTATTGGTGCGTCTACTGTGTTGATCATAGCTCACATTACGATCACTGAATGTGGATAAACGAAGTGCCTACGAACGTAGAGGTGAGAATCTCCTGCTGTAGATATGGGGCTCTCCCCTTCTGGAAGAACGAATGCCGCGGATGACGTCAGACTGAACGCAACAACCATAGTGCCGGATCTGACATCTTCCAAGTTCGCACACAATCGAGAGAAAGACTATTATATTGGCGAAAACCCGCTTCTTTCCGACTACACTGTGCCGTTATGACCGGTGTATGTGCAAAGCAAACAAAAAGTCTCAGCTCAACGCGGTAATGTTTGCGCTCACATGCTTCTTGATCACGAGTATGAAGGCACAACTGATCCAATTGCTCAGGAACAAAGCAACAAAGCTACAAATCTCTCTCCTCCTTCTAGCCTTCCAACAATTGAACTGGGTCCCGTTGGATTACGACCCACGTGAGCACAGAATGCGAAGAGATCAAGACTCGTCTTTCGGATGCGTCTTCTATTCAGGTAAGAGTTTCCACCCAGTCTACTCTAGCATTGTGTCATGAATGGTCACCAGATAAACATAAAATATCATCCTCATCCCTTTCCTGACCGCTTCAATTGATGCAACGATCGAAGTAGGATTCCGGCCTCACTACGAAGCTCCTTCCAATTTCCAAAATATACACTACGACACACACCCTGCTGGCCAGTTGACGGAGACGGAGACGTTGACGAAAGCGAGGGATCAGCATCTAAACGGAAGATGTTCTAAGGCCATATCTTCTTTCAATTACGATTAGCGTTTCATCGATTTCGGTTAGGGTCAAGACGGAGCGCAAGGAATAAATGGACAACAAATTTCGTGGTTTGCGGCCCCAAACGGACTTTCTCCTCCCACCTGAGGTATGTGCCCACGGTGCAGAACGACAACACTACAAAACCATGACATGTCGCCAATGCATCAACGAATTCCTGACGCGTGTGAGAACTGCGAGCGAGATATTTATCCATCGCAAAGGTTTTACTGCAAGTGGTTGGGCGAGAGAAGAGAAGTTTCGCTGCTCCAGACGCCGGATCTGTGGAGTCCGGACACCGAAGATGAAACTTGGACGAGTGAAAGTACTGCACTTAATGTACTGTCCTGTACTGTACTGCCGTAACTCATCGAATGGGGTGGATCGAAGGGTTGCAGAAAAGCACTGCCCTCCACTTTGGTCGGTAGTCATTGAATCCGGACCAGTGTAAAAGTGGATTTTCAGATAGTGTGGATCGATTCCTTGAGAAGGAGCTGCAATTTCCGAAAGATTCTCTTGTAGAAGCAAATCAGAGCGTGTTGAAGGAGATGAGATATAGAAACGGCGGCTCATGGGAAGAAAGAGAGAGGTATAGTGGATGTGGATTGTTCTGCTTCAGATGTCCGGATTCATTCTTTTTCAACATTCGTATGATAGTCACGCTCCTCTATGAAGGAAGGCTACGATGGAGCCTTCTTCATAGCCTTCCTTCCTTTAAGCAGTCCTTATGAACATATTAAAACCTCCAAAAGTCCCTTGTCCACAGCAGACGAATAAAAGTTGATGGCCAGAACCCAAAGTCCAAAGCTGACAATCTTGACGCTCTGGAGAAGACTTTCTCGTGGACCTCGGACTTTCACATGAGGTCAAAATGTCCACCACTTAAATTTACTTCTCCAGTGCATTACACGGGCCCTGACCATTTTAGATCCACATATGAAGGAAGAATTTCTCAACGATTTTTTACCTTTTTTTCAATGTCTACAATAATACAAGTCACGGCGAATGATTAGCCAGAAAATATTGCCAAGCTATAGTGTTCACATTTGATAGAAGAGTTTCATTTTGATGCATTACTCTACTTATCTTATCCTTGTGCATATTTTTCTCCTCCATCTAATGTAGTTAAGGAAGATAACAAGGTAAATATAGAAAAAAAGATGGGAAGATCCCATCGAATTGTAGATGGAAAGGAGTAAACCCCGATAGCATCACAATGGCACATATGTACTACCTACTACTTCTAATGTGTTTAAAACATATATGCCTAAGGAGATCACTCCTTTAAGGTTGTTATATGGCATTTTTTGTAATACCGTAAGTGTACAACAGTATATTATTTTGACAATATGATAGGCTATCATACAAGTATTCACAAATTGTTAAAACAATGATGTTTATACATTCCTTTAACCAAAAATTCAGAATAAAAACAGAGATTACGTTTCATATCAATATACTTGGAAAACTTGATTTTTTTAAACCACTACTCGCCTTTTATGTAAGAGTATAATTATCTACTATAATAAATGTGTCAATATTCTGTGTTCGGATTTGCTTTGATGATACAGAAAAAACGGAGCTTATAATAAAAGCTAGAGATTCACGTTCTTGTGATGAGATGTTGCAAATCCTATATTTATTTGAAAAGAAGGGAAAAAGTAAGAACATTTTCTCATAAAATAAGTAATATGATATACGGTTATTAAAAGATTCAAATGATCATTGGAAATATGCTAATAACAAACGAAAAATTTCAAACATGACTAGAGATTTTTATATGTGCAAGTAACAATCAAAACGGTTAACAGTCGATTTATTATGACAAAACAAGTATCGATGACTATAATTTATTTAGAGTCATCAATATAGTCTATTTAGTCACTACTCTTTGCATGTTAACTTTAATACAACCTTCTACCGTAGTTAAAAAAAAGATTGCTTCTCAAAAAGATCACAATTTGGATAAATCCCATCACTTTTTTAAGTTATTGTGATTTTTCGTTAACAAAAAGATCACCACAGCTGGATTTAATGTCTAAAAAATCACCCTTGTAAATGCTACTTCATTGTAGGAGATTCTCGTCGATTCTGGGTTTCTGTGGAAGTTTTTGTTGAAGTTTTTGGTTGCCGTGCCGCATGGCGGAGTCCGTGGTGGAGTTGAAGACATCCGTTGTGGAATACCATCCTTGGTCGTCACCTGTCATCACCTGAAATGAAGCAGTTCTTACTGACAAATCCCGAAAACAAGAAATGGGTGGAAGCTCAAGAGAAGCGTCACAAAGCTGAACAGAACGTTAAGAACGTTTCACACTTGGTTCGTCGTGAAATGTTTCCAGAACTTCATCCTGAAACTGTCGATTTGGGCTCGGCGGCAAGGTCAAGCTCTGCCCCGAAGAAGATTGTGATTGAGGCTCGTCAGCGGCAACTTCACCGTACATTGATGAAGGAGCTCTTGAAATCCTTTACAACAACAGGGAAACATACCATTGCTCTGTATCGTACAAGGACTTGGGAGCAGAAATCAAAAGCCATATTTTTTTACTTTCACATGTCTTTAGGAAACATGGACCAAGGATTCACATGCTCTCTTTTTTTGATCAACGTCATGAACTTTCACAATTGGATCAAGCAGAAAAGGTATTTCGGTAAATGGATCCACTATGTTGAAGCTTTTAAAGTCTCTGATATCCTGCCCGACGTCCACATCATCGAAAGGATTACGATGATGTGGACGTTTCAAGCGAGGTGTAGATCGATTTAAAGTTTCGCAATTTCACTCCAGGTCATCAATACGTCTGGGCCTTATCTGCAGGTACTCATCAAAACAATCAGAAAGCGACTGGGAAATCTGACAACATCACATATCTTCTTCAAACAACCAAGACTGTCGGTTCTGGAAGAACAGTGAAATACGCCCAGCAATTTCTTATCTCGACTGTGGTGATGAAATGGGAGACATGCAACCCATTGAGCAAATTGGTTGCCTACGATTTGCTGATCTCAACGTTTGGTCATGAATAGGAAGCAGAACGCACTGAATGGGAGGTGAAGATGAAGATCCATTCGAGGAGTATATCTCAAAGCCTTTCGCAATGGATCGCCAGAGTTCTTGAGAGACATTGGTTTTCTATTCGGAAGGAATCAATCTGCAAGACAGTTCCTGTCAATTGGTTACAAATTTGTTTGGATGCGTGTGCCTTGATCTGTAGCATCATGCGATCTGTTGGTGTGATCCGTTTGGTCAATGCCGACGAAATGTTTCTTTAGTTCTCCCCGAAAGAAACCCATTTGATTGTTCCAACGAATGTACGACGAGTTGGCTCCAACCGAGCTGAGGATGCCAAGAAGGTTGCACTATGATGGTGGCATGCGAGATGTTCAAATCTCAAATCA